TATCCACAAATGGTTTGGAATTAAGGAGTCCAGTTTCTTCTATGGCTTCTGGTATCCCTCAAAAGCAATAGCTGGACATCCATTGGTTGGGAGACACATCCCAGGAACCAAAGGTACCAGCGAACAGTCTTGCTTGCAGTCAGGTTAACTAAATATTTTAAGACTCTTAAGGCTCTTAGAAGTCAAATCAGGCCAGATATCAGAAAACAGGCCAGAAAACAGGCAGTTAATACTAGCTGGCATCCAGCTGGATAATGATAAAATTCAAGATGGCAAGTTTTAATTAAGGAGAATGGTGGTCTGGAACCGAGATTTCAGTTGAGGAAGAACCGTGCTGGTAGGATCTTTGCATCCAAGGCTTGCACCAATGAAGAACTCGCCAGGGAGAGGTACCAGCCAGCAGAAGCCTCAGCAGAAGGCTGATTCCAGGGACAATCCTCTCTCCAGCTGCCTTCACACTTGTTCTTAGTCCACAGGTATCCATAGGGAACCTTTCAAATGGATAACGAGTAGCCTCCTGAAACAAAGGCTATGTTCTCCCTGCTGGATCTCATTAAATTCAAGCATTTCCCAAAGTATCAAATATTCCCCAAAATACTACTTTAGGGCAATATAATGGTTAGGAAAATATGACAACCAGATCCTCCTCTAGGAGATTCACAGTGAACACTAACATAATAGAGGATCTGAGAGGTCTTCCAATAAATGTGTTTAATGCACTGCTTTGCAAATATATTGGACATGGGACCTTTCTTGGTGGGGCCTCTGTCTTCTGAAACTTGGCTCTAGGAATACCAGTTAGGAAGTGTTCTTCTTTTTTTATTGACGGGGGAGAGATTTTTGCTATAGGGCACATGTACTCGATTAAGAAACATACAAAGAGAAAATGAGAAATAACCCCCCAGGGGAGATGGCCATGCCACAATCCCTGTGCCTCCGTTTTCCTCTTGGGATTCTGGGCACTCACACACACATGCTCAGAGTGAGTTTCAAGTCTCTGGGTCCTGGACTCGATCCTCAGTGGGCCATGTATTTGCTTTAGGTTTGAGCGTGAGGGTGGAAGATGGGAACACGCCCTGTACCGTGTGGCTAGTGTCCAACATGTTGCTTCCCACCTACATCTCACCCGCACCTGCCCCTCACCCACACCTGCCCAACTGCTCCATTTTGGGTCTCCTCCATATCCAGATCACTGTGCTTTGTGCATCAGTCCCCTGGGGCTGGCTGTGCTGCTGCTTTGTCTCCTTCTCTAAGCTCGGTTGGTTATGCCACTTTTTCCCCTTCTGTTTTCTTTAAAGACCAACGGGGAGAAGTCTCCACTAGGCAGTCAGAGGACACCAGTCAGTTTCTTTCCACCTGTCTCTTCCATTGTCAGATTGGATTATCTCTTTAGAGACCTCCAGTGACAGTCTCTGGCCATCCCTGGGCTATAACATTAGAGGTAAAATTTTGGATTATTTTTTTCAAACTTAATTCAAATGGCCTTTGACTCACAGTGGGCAGTCAGCACCCTGAGATACACCCACCCCAGGGTCTTCGGTCACATTAGGCCTGCAGGTCAGCTCTCACACACACTCAGCTCCCAAGACTGGCCTCTTGCAGAGCCAGTTTCCCGGGGTCTAGCAGGTATGAAGGCTTAATTTGACCTAGAGATGAGAAGACTGAGTCACGGAGGGATAAATAATTTGCCAGGGCTTTTCCAGCTAGCAAGTCACAGTGAAATTTGAACGTCACAGGAGCAGTTTTGTCTTGGATTCGAATTCCAGGGTCAGCGTCTTGACCTGATCGTGGCCATTTCTGTGGGTGAGGACCACAACAGTTGGCCTCGCTTCTCTTGGGATATGACCAATCCAGATTTCTTGTTTAGGCAAATGGGCCTGCAGAAGTGAAACTAGCCAGTTTTCCCAGTCACAAGTCTGTCTTTCCAACAGAGGAATATTGTATCTTTACTGAAATAAAAATAGCAGAACTGATGTCTCATGCCACTTTTAGAAAAAGGTGGGATATGTGTAAATTTTAAGAAAACTTACTTAAGAGAGTGGAAATTACTGTCTCCTAACTTTTGAACACTTAAAAAATGCACACAAATTATAAAGGAGACAGTAAATCATATATTAAAAAAATAAATGATACCAAGTAAGCATATAACTGGTAGCAGTGTCCAGAGCTGCCTTTATGCTTGCCGGTGGTAACTAAAATTCAAAGTAGTAAGAAGGAAGGATGTGTAACCACTGAGCTGCCATAAAGTTGCTAGACTCAAATGGAACATATAAAAGGAACTTCGAAAGTGAGACTGCAAAATATCAGCCATTTTATTTTGCTTTTAAAGAGTTTTGAAATGAAATGAAGATACGAGGGGACCTCAAAAGTTTATGGAAAATAGAGTTAAAGTACAAGTTTGTTTTGGTGCAAAGAAATTTTGAAATCCATGCATAGTTTTTTCATACTATGTATTTTCCATGAACATTTGGGAGACCCCTTGTATATATTGGTAGAAGTGGCCATGGAAGACAAATGTGAAGCACATGAAACAGGGAGGGTTGTGTCAGGATGAGACAGACAGGATTAGAAAGTTAGATTAAATAAATAATAATACCTCCATATAAGGGGCTACTATACAGATTTGAAAAGATTAAAGGCGCCCTACATATACTGATATAAAATTTTCTCCTCCAAGTGTTCTGTTTGTTAAGTAGAAACAAAGCGAGATGCAGAAAAGTGTGTATCGGACCAGTCAGTGGCATAGTGGTTAAGACACTGGATTCCACATGGCATACTTCTCTGTTTGAGTCCTGGACCTGGCAGCTTGAAAAATCACGCCGGGCATACGTGTTTGTGTGCCTAAATCCCAAGAGAAGAATGGAGGAGAAGGGATTGTGGTGTGGCCATTTCTCCTGGGGGGTGATTTTTCACTTTCTCTTTCTCTCTCTGTCCAATGAGAGCATGCTCTCCATAGCAAAACCAAACAAAACAAAAGAAGAAGGAAAAAAAAAAAACTGTGTATCATATGCTATCATTTATGTGAAAAAACAAAATTCATGCACACTCACACAAGCATAAAATATCTCTGAAAAGGAATCTTGAGCAACTATTGGCAGTTTAACCTGGGGGAGGAGAACTAGTGGGACATCAGAGTGTGAAAGAGATTTATCAGTTCACGGATCACCCTGTGAATCTCTGAAATTGTTTGCTATATGCTTGTGTTACCCACTCAAAACTAAATGAAAACGCAAGAAAGTTCATTGACATTAGATATTGTTAGGTGAGATAAAGAAATAGGTGGTAGAAGAATTTTATGAAATTGAGACTTCACAAAAGAAACGAAAGTCTGAGCTTTTAAAATTATATTTAATAGATCTAAGTTATTTTACTATACCAAATTTAGAAAGATTTCTTAAAAACAAAACAAAACAAAAAACTCTTTCTAGGGACCTAATTTTGAATAATTATCTTATAAAATCTTTTTTCAAAGAAAGAACACAACTGACCAATAATTTTCCCCCAGGTTCTTATATATGGTTTTATTATTTTGCTTTTATTATAGCATTTAATAATGTATATTGTTTTTTCATTTTAAAAGTTCTCATTAGAAATGGCTATAAAAATTATACATAGAGTTTCTATTGTCTCAAAACATTACAGAATTAATTGTTACATTAAAGAAATCATACCTGCAGCTTCTATGCTATCCTGAATAGTGGTCCTCTAGTGAAAAAGCAAATGCTATTTGTTCTCAGAAACAAGAGTTCAAAGCCTGAATTATGTAGCTAAAAAGAATAGAAAATTGATGCCTTCAAATTGTGAGATTCTGTAGATAAACCAAATTATTTCAGGTTAGAGTTGAGGCTGATTGTAAATTACGTCCACAACATAACTGGCCTCAGTGATGAAACAAGTCAAATTATGTTTTCAGGTGTACCATCTGAAAAGTGCTGCATATATAAGTTTTTCTCAGGCTGTTAACGTTACGTTTTCAGTTTTGTTTGGAAAGGCTAGTCTTCTCCACCCCTCTTTCAGTGCAGCACACACACTCCCTCCTTCCATCGTTCTAAGTAATGCTAACCCAATGACTGGGCCACACTCCGTACAGAGGGTTAGGATGTGAGTTTATTTACTAAGTTAACCTTAGAATTCTGGTTCTAGGTGGATTAACTAAAATCCTGTAGCAAATTCTGCATTCACCTTCATTATTTCTGCTAAAAGACGCCAATAAATGGCAGTGATTAAAGTGCTTGTTACCAGAGTTTCGAAGTGTAAAATTATGGGAGTGTGTTTAAAGGCCCCATTTTGTGATGGACTTCTCTGTCCTCTGGGTCCTATGATCTGGATCTAGGTGGATCTAGACACAGCACTCGCTTGTTGGCCTGAGGAAGCAGCTTGGATGTGTTTTCATGTCTCCCTGGACTTGTGTTCTGATCTTCCCCATCTTTGGGGACCACTTCCCTGAAGAGGCCAGGATTCATTTGAATCAATAGAAAAAAAAAAAAAAAAAAAGAAGTTCCACCCTGCCCCATCCATCCTCCAGCCCTGTCTCCCCTTTTCAAGATAATGCTTTCAAGAGAACATGTGAGTTGGGAACCAGCAGTTAGCGTAATGGCTATGTCGCTGGACTCCCACGTAGTCGACCGCGGTTCGCGTCTCGGACCCGGTGGCTTAAATCTCACGCCGGGCATGTGTGCGTGCGTGCCCAAGATCCCGAGAGGAGAATGGAGGAGAAGGGATTGCGGCGTGGCCATCCCCCCTGGGGGGTGATTTCTCGCTTTCTGTCTCTATGTCTCTCTCTGTCTGTCTGGCGAGCGCACGCGCCCTATAGCGAAAACCTCTCAAAAAAAAAAAAAAAAAAAAAAAAAAGAGAACATGTGAGTGAATTGCATTTTTATAGGAAGGGACTGCTCACACATTATATACCTAACATTAGGTCTCTAGGTGATGTTTACATCAACTAAAAGCTCGAAGTGCCCCCTTTTCAATCTGGCTTGTTTTTTCCATTTTATTTGAAGGTATGACATTGGCATTTGCAGGAATGTATCTTTTGGTGACCTTTGCTCCAAACATAACTCAGGCTATCTCTGCAAGAACAGTGCAGTATTACTTTGTTGGCTGGCAGTTCCTGATCTATGTGGTAAGCATTCTCAATGTTTTACTGTCCTTGAAGCACTATGATCTAGACCACTGGTATATGCAGTTGTTAGACAACTAACACGGCACTTACATCCCATTAAATGTAAACATATTTGACAATACCAAAGAACTGGAAATATCAAGTCAGCAATAGGAACGCCCAATTTCCCAAGTGTCCTATCCTCGGAGTGGCATGTCACAGGAATAATTTTCACATTTAATCCAGAAAATTCCAGAGCAACATGTTTTGGGAAAACTTTAAGTTAAAAAAAAAAAATTATCTTCCAAGGTTAAGGCTCAGTACCTGAGGACACATTTTTACTTTGCTATGTTTTATTCAAGATAGGTATTTTCTTCCAAAAAGGTCTCATTAAGATCAATGCAATAGATGGTCTGAGAGTATCAGACACCAGAATACAAGACTGAGGGAATGCAAATGAACTAATACAGAAATTTAAAATCATTGACTGGAATATTTTATTTGATACAGTGGCTGTCTCTGGAAGGCATAAAGAGAGAACACAATCAAAAAGGTCATATGCAACTTGTTACCTATTTTGATTTAAATTGACAATTAAGAATGTTCTAGAGGGGCCAGCAGATGAATTACATTGCTGGACTCCCATGCTGTTGACTGTGGTTCAAGTCCTAGACCTGGCGACTTAAAACACACTGGGCACATGTGTGTGCATGCCCAAAATTCCTAGAGGAGAAGGGATTGTGGTGTGGCCATTTCCCCAAGGGGTAATTTCTTGCTTTCCGTCTAGTGCTTTCTGTCTCTCCAGTGAGTACACACACCCTATAGCAAAAAACCTCTCTCAAAAAAAAAAAAAAAATTCTAGAAAGGGCAGATAATAAGAACACTGGGATAGATCAGGTAAGCCCTTAACAAATAATTGGATTGATAGTATAGTTGTGAATTCAATAAAAGAAATCAAAGCACACAGAATCATACAGTTCTAGGATTAGAAATAAACTCAATGGGACCAGCAGGTGGCATGGTTGTTAAGGCACTGGATTCCCAAATGGCTAACTTTGGTTTGAGTCCCAGACCCAGAGGCTTGAAAATCACACTGAGCACGCATGCATGTGTGCCCAAAATCCCAATGAGAGAATGGAGGAAAAGGAATTTCAGGAATTTCAGTATGACCATTTCCCTTTTGAGGGGGTAGGTGACTTCTCACTTGCCCTGTCTTTGTCTCTGGCGAATACACACACTCTTAGGCAAAAACCTTAAAAAAATAAAAAAAGAAGAAGAAGTAATGAACTAAAAAAGTCCAGTCCCCTGCCATTAAAACAAGTAAAACAACATGATCCTATTTTATATGCCTAGTATTTAAAAATGTGACTTTGACATTTGTGGGGGATATGTTGATTGGCCAACATTAAGAGTAACTCAAGATATTACAGCTTCCGTTCATAGTCTGTATGACAACAATACTATATGCCGTACTGTCTCAGACATATTATTCTGATTACTAGAACACACATGTTTACAGTTTACAGGCCTTTGCTTTCAGTCTCCCTCACTACCCCTTTAACTCTACTAAGATACTTTGGTCTCTCTGCTCAAAAAAAAAATCCTAATATTCTGCATACCCTTTAATGAACTCCTATTTCTTTTCTTTCGTGCACCTTCAGAAATGTATTCAAGGGACCAGCAGGTGGTGTAATGGCTACATCGCTGGACTCCCATGTAGTCCACTGTGGTTCGAGTCCCAGACTCGGTGGCTTAAACTCACGCCGGGCACGTGGGCATGTGGGCTCAAAATCCTGAGAGGAGAATGGAGGAGAAGGGATTGTGACGTGGTCATCCCTCCTGGGGGGTGATTTCTCACTTTCTGTCTCTCTCTGTCTTTCTGGTGAGTACACACACCTTATAGCAAAAACCTCTCCAAAAAAAAAGAAAAGAAATGTATTCAAATAGTCTATGGTGGCTCCTTTCACTTTCTCAGCTCCCATTCACTCCTCACACATTACAGTCTGGTAACTACCGCCTATGAGATTGCCACATGGAATTGCTGATTTTGGTCCTGATTCTTCTTGAACCATGCACACTATTTACTCCATGGCCAATCATCCCCTGGAAACCTTCTCTTCCATGATTTGTCAGTATATTTTCCATGCTTCCCCTCTTCCTCTCTAACTAACCCATCCCAAGCTCCTGGACACCTCCTCCTCTGCCATAACTAGTCATGGTACACACTCTTCTACTCCACCATCACCTCCTTCCAAAGCCAGCCCTACCTCTCCCTCCCAAGCCTCTCCTGAGCTTCAGATCTATATTCCCACCTCTCCACTTACTACTCATCTCTGCGATGTCCTACAGGTCCTCACATGGAACATATCAGAAACTAAACACAATCTCTTCTCTCCCAACTCCCCTTTCTTATATTTTTTCTTATATTTTCCGTGTCAGCCCCTCACACTGGAAACTTGAACTACACATTACTTCCCCGATACCCTCATTCTGCTCCTTCACCTCCATCCTGTTGGCCTTGATCCCTTTTATACACCCCTGTTGCCATTGCATTCATTCAGACTTTGACTATCTTGTGCCTGGACTATCCCAGCAGCCTCTGACTCAATGTTTCCCTGCTGCTCTCAATGCTGTGGTTACAATAACCTCCTAAAGACAGATCTGATCAGTAAGGTACTCCAGTTAAGCCACTTAAATCAGTGCTGTTGTATCTGTCAGTCGTTTCCTCTGCCAAGGAAATCCTTTATCTCCTTTGCCACTGTCCTCTTCCAGCTTCCCACAAACTCACCCTCATGAGCATGGCTCAGATGGGACCCTTTTATCTATTTACCTGTCTGTTCTATTCTAGAAGACCCTGTACTTTGTCAGGGCAAGGACTATTACTGGCTGGTCAATCAATCAATCAGCCCATCAGTCATAATGCCCTGCTTATTTAAACACCTATTCTTTTATGCTTTGACCTTGACTTCCATTCTCATGGACCTTATTTCTGCCCTAGCTCTGTCATGTCCTACCTCTTCCCAAAACCCTGCCTTCACTCAACCTTTGGGACTGAGCTTCCCAATTCAGATTAGCCTTCCCTGGGTCTGTCATACTTCATGTCTCCTCTCTGCTCCATTTATCTTCCTACTTCTCTGCCATCCTCAGTCTTTTTGTTTTGGTTTGGTTTTGGTAAGACAGAGCTTTGCCTCAGTCTCCTAGTTGGAATTAGAGGTGCATACCATTATGCCTGTCTCTTTTTTAGACAAGGCCTTGCTATGTTGCCTAGGGCAGCCTCGAGCTCTCAGTTTTCCTGCCTCGACCTCCCTGGTTGGCTGGGATTACAGATACACAGTAGTGTGCCCAGTGTTTTGGTTAGACTGGGAATTGAACCTGGGGTCTCCCATGTAGTCCCAGCCTGTAGTGCATAGCATCTTAGCAGCATGAGCAACTGTGGCTGGGCCCATGCTCAGTCCTTTAACTATCACAGCTTTCATCTATCAGCTGTAAGCACTAGTTTTAAACTCTGTGATTTACTTCTGTTCTTTATACTTTTTTGAATATTTCGTGATAGTTCAGACTTGAAGTCCTACCAACACATTACAATATTACTTTTTGCCTACAGGCAAAACAAACTCTTCATCCAGTAAGAAAGGGTCACATAGCCTGTGACCAGAAAATTAATAGCCTGAGTTGAATCCTTTGGAGATTAAAGATGCATCAAGACTTATTTTCTGGAATAAATAGCATGGTTTAATGATGATGTATTGTGTATTGTTTTAACACCAGAGAAAACATTTGAAAAGATCAAAACTACATTTTATTAAATCATGTATTTCCACAAAAAAGGAGAGAATGCTCTGAAATTAATTGCATTTTGCCATTTTCCAAAGTCAACTTATTTATTCACTTACCATTCAGTAGTGATTAGACACCCAACTTATAGACAGAAATTCTTGTAGCAGAAATTGTATAGTCCTGAGAGAGACCCATATTTCTATAGAATCAAATCAAAATAGTGAAAGTATATTTGAAAGTAAATGCCACAGAGAAGAATGTAAAGAATGTAAATCTGGGCATTTACAAGATAGCATAAAATAAAGTTTAATAAAGTAGTGTTTGAATTACACTGTTGGCATTAGAGAATAGATTTCTATTACATTAGTTTGGAAGTTGAATCCATTATATAGTTATGTTATGCATCTCTAAAGGCACTAGGAGTGATCAATTGTATATTAAGATCTTGAGCTGAAGTTTGGTTTAAATCTGTTCAACATTGAAGTAATTAATATTTAATCCTTGGATGTGGCAGATTCTGTGCTTCTGGTGCAAGCAGAACGGCAAGGATCGTAATTATAGTAATTAAGACTGTTCTCTGATGTGTCACCCGTCTAATTGCTTATGTATTACACCAACGATAACTACTATAGCACCTGAATTGCTTTTTCAGGACTGATCAAATAACTTATAAAATGAATTCAAATATGTAAAAGCCTGAAGAGATTTTATTTCAAGGGCTTATGCAATGGCATTACAGCCTGGCTCATGCCGTCCCTTGTCTTACATGTCTACCTGGGCCAGAAAGTGTCTGTATTTCCTTTACAGTAAGTGGAAGTCTACAGAAACTAGGCCCAGGGATCCATCCTCTGATTTGGTACTCTTTTTTCTAGAAAGAGCATTTGAGAAGCCTGGTGCCTGCTAGCCACAGACCAATGAGATGTCCTTTTGTGCCTTACTCACTAAAACAGCCTTTCCCAGCCTGTTTTATGGGTAGTCTCCCCTCCGCCATGCTTCCCCCAAAACAAAACTTAGTGGGCTTTCAAAGTCAAACTAGCTTGGAGAGATGTCCCATAACATAGCCTCTGGGAAATTCATCCTCATCCTTGGCACTGTCAGAAGCCAAAAGTCATTTAATTTTGTTGATCCTGCATGCCCCAGGCTTATTTGTCCATGGGGCCCTTTTCTCAGAAGGACCTATTGTTAAGTAAAACCTACTAACGGATTCTGCAGAGCCCCTATTAGGAAATGCAGCCTGGAACCTC